CTATAAAAAATACATACACGACACTATACAATTGAACATACTATAATGAGATTCATAGAGAACATACACTAGTACATACTATTCATACACACTATATACTTTACTAGAGAACATATTATGATGAGAATCAGGGAAGACATACACTACATACACACTATAACATAAATGTGAGGCGCTACTTCGTGGCATGGCATCTTTGTCATGGCCCGTCTTGTATCCAGAGACTCTTGGAGGGAGAGCGTGAATTCGTGTATAGATCTATATTGGATTAACCATCCTACACCTTGCTGCTAGCTACAGTGGGACCCGCAGGTCTACGGGTGATGAATGTCATAACATTTCGACGTCTTACATCGTCGTGGTTCACTAGGTCGATCAAGTATGGTTACAATTATATCACATTATACCTTAACTAACAATTGGATCAAGGTAGTTAGTACACTAGTAGTTATAATATTATTATAATACAGTACTTCATTATTTTCCCCTTTTACATCTGCTTTGTGACCTCCTCACAATAAAGAGTAATGTAAAAACTAGATTTTCACTAATGATAGTCACTTTTGGGGAAAATACTCACTTTTACAAAGAAAAAAACATATAGTACACTTGATGCCTTGGTAGAAGGTTACTTTCGATGGAAAATATAGGTTTTTCTAAGAGATACAAACGATTACTACAAACATTTTACAAACTTTTACACTCAAACTCTTACAAACATTTTCATGCAAATCATTGATACTAAATACTTATGAACTCACCAGCTTTAATGTTGATACTCGCTTTCAAAATAATTTGTATTCTCAGGTCATCAGTAGACAGGTACCGGGGCCAGCTTTTGAGAAGATGGAGCACATACAAGACTCATCTTTTATTTTGATTCATATTTTGGTGTCTTATAAACCACATAACACACTTGTATTAAAAGTATATATTTAATGCAATGGATGATGTTGTTTACTTGTTTACTATTATAATGTGTTGTGATACTATACATGACATCCTCTGCCCCAGAACCTTTCCGCCGTTCTTGATTTTGGGGTGTGACAGTAGCAGACAGTCTTTGAGACGCTCAGACAGCGACTGTGCGAGGCGTCGATTCTCACCATGCCAAAGGGAGTAGATGACTTTGTATTCTAGTGTGACGCTTTGATTACAGGTATGGGAGCAGTGTTGATGCAGCGAGGGCATATGATCGCTTACACCTCGAGACAGTTGAAGCCTCAAGAGGCTAACTACCTGACGCACGATTTGGAGCTAGGGCGGTGGTGTTCGTCCTCAAGATTTGGAGACATTACCTCTACGGTATCTAGTGTAGTATCTACATAGATCACATGAGTTTGAGGTACCTCATGGATCATCCGAATCTGAACATGAGGCAGCGTCGGTGGTTAGATATTGTTAAGGATTACGATTGTGAGATCCTTTACCACTCGGGCAAGGCCAACGTAGTGGCCGAAGCCCTGAGCAGCAAGGCGGTAGCGGCTCTGATCCGAGATATCTGTCTGTGGATGATATTGGTTACTCCACTGCTAGAGCAAATTAGGGAGGCGCAGGTTGAGGTCCTCAATGAGGAGCGCCAGAAGTGCGAGAGGATAATGGGTTGAGTAGCTTCGTTTGATTACAATAGTTGAGGATTGTTGACCATGCATGGAAGGGTTTGGGTATCGTAATGGGGCGGAGTACAACATCTGTTGATGGATGAGGCCCACAAGTCTCGATTCTCCATCCATCCAGGGGAGAAAAAGATGTACATATATCTTCGACCCAATTACTGGTGGCCCCGCATGAAGTGGGACATAGCATGGTACGTGGAGAGATGCCTGAATTGCAGGAAGGTCAAGGCAGAGCACCAGAAGCCTCATGGCAAGATGCAACCATTAGACATTCCCGTGTGGAAATAGGAGGACATCACCATGGACTTCATCACTAAGCTTCCTAGGATCGCACGTGGGGTCGATTCGATATGGGTCATCGTGGATCGGTTAACCAAGAGCGCCCATTTTATACCAAACCAGGAGAGCATCTCAGCCGAGAAGTTGGCCGAGATTTATGTGCAAGAGGTAGTGGCACGTCATGGAGTGCCTGTCTCGGTGGTGTCAGACCGAGATTTCCGGTTTACTTCCAGGTTTTGGAAGCGGTTTCACACCAAGATGGGTACTCGTCTCCATTTCAGCACCGCTTTCCACCCTCAAATGGACGGGAAGAGCAAGAGGACGATTCAGACTCTCGAGGACATGCTTCATGCATGTGGTCTAGATTTCGGTGGCAGTTGGGATACGTATCTTCCATTAGCGGAATTTTTCTATAACAACAATTATCACTCCAGTATAGACCGGCCTCCCTTCGAGATGCTCTACGGGCAGAAGTGTAGGACCCTAATCTATTGGGGTGAGTTCGGTCAGAGATTCATGGGGAGTACAGAGGTAGTACTCAAGACCATAGAGCGAATTCAGCATGTTCGGAGCAGGCTCCAGACTGCTCAGACTCGGCAGAAGAGTTACACCGACAAACAGCGTTCGAACTTGGAGTTTCAGGTGGGCGATATGGTCCTCCTGAAAGTGTCACCCTGAAAGGGTGTTATCAGGTTTTGGAATAGGGGCAAGCTAGGCCCCAGGTTTATTGGTCCATTTAGGGTTTTGGCCCGGGTGGGTCGGGTTGCTTATCAGTTAGATCTTCCAGCAGAACTCTGTCAGATCCACAACACGGTCCGTGTTTCTCAGTTGCAGAAGTGCTTAATGGATGATTCAGTAGTGGTACCCCTTAAGGACATTCAGGTTGATAATAGCCTGAACTACATCGAGAGACACATGGCAATTTTAAATCGCAAGAAGAAGGAGCTGAGGAACAAGAGGGTAGAGTTAGTGAAGGTGCAGTGGCAGCATCGCAAGGGTTCGGAGTGGATGTGGGAGCCCGAGGAGGAAATTAGGGAGCACTACCCAAAGTTGTTTTCAGAGACAACGGACTTCGAGGATGAAGTCTAAGACAAGTTGGGGAGAATTGTAACACCCGGTGTCAGGTACGCATTTAATTCAAGCAAACTTCATATTTTACCTTTGGACTCGGCGAGTTGGTGGCCCAACTCATCGAGTAGGATCGACTCCGGGTCGGGGGACTAAGTGACCTACTTGATGAGTCGGAAGACCAACTGGGCGAGTAGGAGCTGTCTGAGTGAAACTCTAAATTAGATGGTTTGCACCCTATTTAAACGCCTTATAAGGCTTTCACCCCAGCCTCCATCACCTTCAAGCTTTGTTCTCAAAACCCTAATCAACCTGTGAATGTTCTTGAGCAATTTGTACCTTTCCATGTGATTTGAAGTTAGAAGAAGGAAGGGAAAGATTGCTGAATCAAGAAGCAAGTCAGTAGATCCAGAGTTTTGGTTCCAATTATTTGAGGCCAAGAGCTCCTACCTTGGCTACTTATTTGTTAGATCTACTTTGGGGCTTGAATCTTGACATCTTTGGGGGCATTTCCAAACCATTTTGGATTGTAGAGTATAATATAGGGTAAAAGATTCAGATCTGGAACCTTGGAGGGTTCTCATGGCAAAAAGGTGCCAACTTTATGGCCATGTGTCACACCCCTAAGCTAGACGGTGGAAACGTCGGGGGCTCGTGTGACTAACAATTGAATAATCATCACAATGAATATAAATGAAGCATAACATCATCATCATCACATATGTAATATCACAACATCCATAGTTTACACTGACTATTGTAATTGAATATTACATGCCAAATAGTTAAAGTATAACGAAACAAAATAACACTAAACATCTGATAGTTTGTTTATCTCAACCTGCTTCAACGGTTTCCTGAGAATACAAGTTAATTTAAAAATGTCAACATAAAAATGTTGGTGAGTTTATAAGCATGTTTGTGAAAATGATTTATATAACTTTGAAACCACCAGAAACTCCTATATTTTCTTAAAACAGTTTAGTATGTTTGTGTCAAATCTTGTATTAATGCATGTGTGTTATGGTTTATTAGAATGTATCAAGATATTACTGAAATTATAAGGCCGGACGGAGTGGGGTGAGGGAATGGATCCCGCACCTGTGCACACCCCACCATGGGTGCGGGAAAGGAACCGTGGGAAGCAACCGAGGGGAGAGAGTCCCGCTCTCTCTCTCTTCCAACCATTGGCCACTGCATTTTTTTTCTTTTTTATACTCAAACGGCTATATAGCCGTTAACATATATATATATATATATATATATATATATATATATATATATATATATATATATATATATATACACATATTTCTTTTTTCCTTTCCTTTTCTTAATCTATAAATACTCGCACATTTTATCATTTTTTAAACCATAATCTATATTTCTCTATAAAAAAATATTACTCAAAATGTCATCATCTTCATCATCCGATTCGACGGCAGTAGAGGAGGCTAAGTTTATCGGTTCCATCATGACAAAAATGGTTGCATACTATCAAAACCGACTTGGTGAAACATCACGTGCACGACCTAACCTAAGAAAGTCGCCGTTACGTAGAAATCACAAAGCCGGACACGATCGTCTTATAGAAAATTATTTTGCAGATGACGTCGTCTACGCTGTAAAGTTTCAACGTCGGTTCCGGATGAGGAAGGAACTATTTTTACGTATTATTGGCGATTTGGAAGGCTGCTTTCCATATTTCCAATGGAAAATGGATGCAAGGGAAAAAAGGTTCCTCTCCCATTCAAAAATACACGGCTTCAATTCGTCAGCTAGCATACTGCATGGGCGCAGACAAATGGGACGATTATTTTAGAATGTCAGAGCGTACCGTGAGGGACTCTGTACAACTTCTGCAAAGCGATCTATTTGGTTTACGAGCAACGATATTTGCGCAAACCAACTATCAACGATATCCACCAATTGTATATGGTGCATGAAGGCAAACATGGATTCCCCGGAATGCTAGGTAGTATCAATTGCATGCATTGGAGTTGATCATTATGCCCCAACGCATGGTGTGGTCAGTACATGAGAGGCGACCACAAAGAGCTGACGATTATTCTAGAGGCTATCGCATCACATGATCTTTGGATATGGCATGCATTCTTTGGTCCAACTGGTGCAAACAATGACATCAACGTGCTAGACCAGTCGCCTGTATTCAACGATATCTACCTTGGAAAGTCACACGATGTACCTTTTCAAGCAAATGGGGTAGCATATAAGCGTGGATACTATCTTACTGACGGTATATATCCTCCCTTGTCTGTTTTTTGAAATCGTTTACATATCCTAACGACCCGAAAAGGAAAAAGTTTAAAGAGGCGCAAGATTTAGCTAGGAAGGATGTGGAGCGAGCATTTGGTGTACTTAAGAGACGTTGGCAAGTACTAACGGTCGGGGCAAGATCATATGAGGTGAAAAGGTTACAACACGTAATGTATGCATGTATCATATTGCATAATATGATTCTTGAAGACGAAGGAAGAGAAATATGTCGATACAATGAAAATGAAGTTTTGCCAAATGTCGAAGGAGTAGCCATTGGTACACAAGAGTATAGGGTGAATAGAAGAGAAGTACACAATCGCGACCTTCATCAGGCCCTTCGTGCTGATTTGGTGGAGCACATTTATAGGGCTCATATTCATCCCCCACAAGAGTTATCTTACGATGATTATGTGTTTGACGAATCAGATGAGGATTCTGATATGTTCGTCGAGAGTGAAGATTCTGACGATGAGAGTGACGTTGGGGAGAATGATGCAGATGATCAAGGCGAGGACGAAGACGATGATTCCGAGTGACATATCTAGGTTTAAATAAAATTAGGATATTAATTAATAATTTTTACTATGTTGTAGTTTGTTTGATTTTTTTTTTTTTGGGGGGGGGGGGGGTCTACTTATTTAAATATTAGGGTTAATGTAATTTTTATTTTACTTAATGAAATGCTTTTTATTTTTAATTATATTTTATGTTTGATATTAATTTAATAATTATAAATAAAAAAATTACTTTTATTTAAAATATAAAAACAAATAAAAAATAAAAAATAAAAGTGAGGGAAGGGCTTCCCTCCCACTCCTTGACTTTTAGGTGAGGGAAAGGAGAGTGAGGGATAGAAGGGAATGCCCACCAAAAGTGAGGGAACCATCTCTCTCACTCCTTCCAGTCTAAGGAGAATGTAAGGATAATGCCTCAAGACAACCCGATGTTGTCCGTAAACAAGAATGCTGCTGTACCAACCCTCGAGATTTAGTACCAGTACGTGTATGTTTCTGAGTAATCCACGAGAAAAGAGAATGTCCCCAGACAACCTGATGTTGTCTGTAATAGAGAATGTTGCCGTACCAACCCTCGAGGTTGAGTACCAGTACATGTATGAAGTTGATTTCCCATGATTGATAAAATGGTAATGGATCTCTATGTTAGTATTTATAACCATGCATGATAATGACTATTTCGCACGTCTTGGCATTTTACAAATGCTGGTTTTGATTAAGATTTTGTCACCCTAGACTGGCCAAGTCTAACTGTAGCGAACAGCTCAGGTGTGGGGGAGTCACCCCCATATAGATCTATACACAAACTCTTGCTCTCCCTTCAGGAGACTCTGGTTACAACTTATAAGCTACGACCGACACTTAGGTGTTGTTTGTTTTTTTTTAAAAAAAAAACTACTTCAAACCACTTATTGCTGTGCCGCGCAGCACACGCGCATCACTTGGCCTTTCACAGCTGTTTGTTTTCATGAAGACTTCTGACTTAAAAACTGTTGCGCGTATGTTGCGTGGCGCAGCACTAAACCAACTGCTTCAAACCTCTTCGCGTCTTACTTTAACTTACTGCAGCAGTCTGTAGACGTTAAAAAACAAACAAACTTTTTATTAAATGTTGCAGCCTTTTGTTCCACCTCTTCTGCTACAGAGGATTGCAGAGGTGGTTCGCAGACTTAAGACATTTTCACTTCGAAAAAACAAACAGCAGCTTATTTGTCAAACCCAAAACCAAGAACGGCGGAAACGTTCTGGGGCGGAGGACATCATGTAAAGTAACACAACACAGTAAATGTAAATAAGCAAACAACATCATCCATTGCATTAAATAAATAATTTTAATACAAGCGTGTTCTGTACAGTATAGACACCAAAAATAATGTAAATCAAAATAATAAGATGAGTCTTGGATGCACTTCATCTTCTCAAAAGCTGGCCTCGGTACCTGTCTACTGATGACCTGAGAATACAAGTTATTTTGAAAGAGTTTATCAGCATTAAGCTGGTGAGTTCATAAGTATTTTAGTGTCGGTATTTGTCATCCAAAAACGTTTGAACATATCTCAAGTGTAAGTTTGTAAAATGTAAGTAAATATTTGAAAGTGTTTGTACAAGTTTGAATCTCTCAGAAAAACCTATATTTTCTATTAAAGTAGCCTTCTACCAAGGATTAACTGCTTTGTATGCTCGTTTGTTGTAAAAGTGTGTAATTTCCCAAGTATAACTATCATTTAACAAAATATAGTTTGTACATTAAAGTTTAAGTGAAACAATTACTAAAAGTATGTAATGGGTAAATTATTGTAGTACTGTAGTGTTGTATTATAGGAACTACTGTTGTACTAACTACCTTAAACCGGATTTATATTAAGGTATCATGTGATAAATTGCACCATACTATAGACTGGTAACAACGACAATGTATAGTCGAAAGATAAGGTATGACGTTTGGCACCCGCAGACCTGTCGGTCCCGCTGTAGCTAGCAGCGAGGTGTAGGATAGTCAATCCAGTATAGATCTATACGCAAACTCACGCTCTCCCTTCAAGAGACTCTGGCTACAACTCGGGTCATGACAATTAAGGCATGCTCCCATACAGTGGATCACAATTGTTAACGTATTCGTGTATATGTAATGAAATGTTACTTGTTCTAGTATCGTTGTATATGTACTCTTAGTAATAAGTATTGACTCATGAATGAACTGACTCGTTGATCTAGAATTTGTAGTAGTATGATCCTATGTTACCCCGATGGTAACTTACTGATGATGTACTGATAAGTATGAATATGGAAGTACTTTTATGTCTATATATGTATATTTGATATATAATTAATATTGAAACGACCTTCGGACGACTACCCGAAATCCCACCAGACCACATCTCAAGCGCGAAAAGGAAATAGGGTGGATGGCCTTCCTAAGCCCTTTAAACATTTCTTATATATCTATACATATATGGAGATGCAATTTATAAGAAGTAAAACAAAGTTTAATAAAAGCATTTGATAAGTAAAGGAGTTTGTAAAACATTTTGAAGTAAAACAGTTTGATAAACAATTTGAATAGTGATAAAATCATTGGTTTTCTAGTTATTAATCGCATGTGATTGATGTAATAACTATAAGTATTTAACTTGTATCCCCCCCCCCCCATAAAGTATTTAAAACCTTTAAAAGCATTTCAAAGGTTAATTAAAGGGGTATGAACTCACTTGTGGTGAGTAGATTTGATTGAAGTATCGGGTACCGTGCTAGGTGGCAAACGGAGACTTGTTCACACGCACGAGCCTAGTTATCATATAATGAGCATATATATGACTAATTAGCCAATTGATAACTTAATAAAATAAGTTGGGACACTCAGGTCCTAAGGGTTGCATCTAAGTCGATATGGGACAAGGTAAAAGGGTTTAATGTACCAAAAGACCTTGAATAAGAGTTTACTACCCAATAAACTCCACACAAGGAGTTTACGGTCGCAAACCCTTGATTTTACGGCCGTGAACTCTTGTCTTGGTGGTTTTGGGTGTTTTAAAGTGTTAAATGATTTCTAGAATAAGCCTAGCATGGGTGGTTTAATCCTTAAGGTAGTTTAGGGCCTTAGAATGCTCCTTTGAGGAGTTTACGGCCAAAAGACCATATCCCCTAGAGTTTACGGTTGTAAACTCCTATGGGGTGGGTGTTTTAATTCATTCAAGCCTCTTGCACACAAAGGATAATTTCTAGACTTTTGTTTAAGGCTAAAGGGAACCTTAGGCACACTTTGGTGCCTTTACTTGGAGTTTACGGCCCAAGATTTATTCCTTGGCCATAAACTCCCTTTAAGGGGTGTTTTTATGTGTTTAAGTCTCCAAAATAGCTAGAAGTATTATGGGGTTAATGTCTTAAAGCCTTAGGAGTGATTAGGGCACATTTAAGCCCTTGAAATTTGTGTTTACGGTCCAAGAAACTCTTGGGCCGTAAACTCCTAAAACTAGGTGTTCTTGATTGTGTTCTAGCCTTAAATGATCATACATAATGTCCTTAACTAGTTACCTAACAAGGAAATGGGACTAGATAGCTCTTAGGCTTCGTTTTGGAGTTTACTCCCCAAGAACGTTCTTGGGCGGTAAACTCCCGGATCTTACATATTTGACATGTAAACAATGTTATTAAGCATATAACAAGCATTAAAACACATCTAGGAAAGTAGACTCACGATTTGGGATGAAAACCTGAAGATCCGTGAGAGAGAAAATGGCTTTTCTCTAGTTGGAAATGTGAATAATGAATGAATTTAGTTCAGAAATCTATTTATAGTCCTAAAATATTTTGGTAGAAAATATTTTTATTCCGGAATTGATTTCTAATATAACCGAGTGTTGGAATAACAGTGTTGCACAAAATCGTAGTGCATCCACTCTCCTGGTGTTTACTGAAGTGTAAACCCTAAATTACTCCAACTTATACGAAAAGTCTGAAAATCGACTATGACTATTATAACTTCTATTGAAGTGATACTGTTTGTATAGAATGGAAATTTCGGGTTGTCACATTATTGGTGCCAATCAATAATTTCTCACTAAATCCCAATTATTACCCCATGAATTTGAATAACATTGTTTACAATCCGTTTGATGTTCACATGAATATGAATAAAGCCTAACAAACACGAAAAAGGACATTGTGGCCCACTAATCATGTGTGTCATTTATAGGTTGTCGAGTATGCTTATAGACACATTATCCCATCAAGCATATGATTGATTTGGACCATACTAGAAATGCAAATGGGTCACTAAGGCCCAATAGCATGTAAAAGCCATTACCGTAGGCATGCAATTGGGTCACCGGAATCGCAATAAACATGTTTTGATTATATTGGGCCCAATAATCATCTAATAGGGTCACGAAGGCCCAATAAGCATGAATGGGAATACTAGGCCCAAGCATTGTATTGTGTATCTATTTATCGGTATAAATTGTAGTATAGGACTTGTTTTACGATTGGTGTTTACTTTCAATGTTAAAACACTTGACGTTGGATTTGTAACGACACTTTGGTTATATATATATATATATATATATATATATATATATATATATATATCATAAACTTAATATATTTGACCCAATTGTTTTAATATTAACATATTTGACCCCAAAATATTTATTTGACCATTTCAGCCCATTTTTCATAAAAATAGCATTCTTGGCCCAATAAGCCAAAAATTTCCCATTAAGGCCCAATCTTGGTAAAAATAATACTTTAGTCCCCCTTTTGTTTGTTAAAAAAAATAACATCTTTAACCCCATTTTTGTCAAAAATATCATTTTTGGATTGATTTTTGTGTAAACACACATTTTGTTTGGTTTTTGACTTTTCTGACCCGGATGTTGGAAAATATGTACAAAAATCATAGTAAGTCGAAATTTGGATCTGTAAACTCTGGAAGTTTGGAAATTTTGTGTACTTTGTTCAAAAATTTTCTCATGATTTTTAATGGCCTCAAACTAGTGTGAAATTGCTCATCTTCAAAGGTTGGT